AAGTCAAGAATATGATTTAAATAATGTGTTTATAAAATGAATAAGAATTTAAATTAAAATAAAATTTATTTTTTGTAAAAAATTTTTTAGTCTTAAAAGCTTAAATATATTTATATATTATGTAGGTTTAGAAAATTGATATTTTATTATTATTCGTATTATTTGTATATAGAATAATAGAAAATAAATTAACACAAAAATTATATCGAAAAAGAAATATTTTCATATTTTATAATTAAAAGTTTGTTTTTTCATAATGACCATCACGTTGTGTTAAAGTTGCAATCAAATTTACAAAAATTAATATAGATTTACCAATATAGAAAAAATGTATGAAGTATAATCTTATTGTCTATATATATATATATATAATGTTAATTTTATATAATTTAATTTTTAATATAAAATTTTAATTTTTTATATAGAATTAATATTGTGAATAAATTGTATATAAAATAGTTTTAGTACATTTATTTATAAAACCATAAAATTAAAAAATATAAAATTTCTTTAAAAAAAAATATTTTTCATACAATGTTTTAATTATTTTTTTTTATATAATAATTAATATATAAAAATAAATATGTTTATTATTATTAATTTTTTGATATATATATGATTATTATATAGATAAAGATGAACAATAAGGAAAAGAAAATATTCATGCCTGAAAAAAGGTATTTGTGTATTTATTGATAATAAAGTTTTTAGTATACATTATATTTTATCAAAGGTTTGTTCATAATAAACACATTTTTGAAAATACTAGCTTTTACTTATAGTATAATGCATTATATACATATTTTGTAACTTTTATCGAAGATTGAATTCAGTATTGGTATTATAAACATTCATTGCCCAATATGGTATCAAAGTACTATTTCATATCTTAATAACCACATCAGGTCATCTATATAAATATAATTATCAATTAAAAGATTAATATAAATCATATTTGAATTTCTTACCACTGAACTATTGTTTCCAGGTAACCGACATCTCACCCCCTTGAGTACTATCACGCTGTGGACTCTATAAAAATATTAAAAATAAAAACAAATTTTTAAAATTTATTAATATTGTTTATTTTTCATTTTCAAATTCTAAAAACAGTAAATATAATTACTTTAACTTGAATCTGTTGCTTTAACATTGCAGCCCTTAAGATTAACATGCGTGTGCGTCTTTGATATTCTTTTCCTACACTCATAGATTTCTCGAAAGTTGTGCTACGTTGATCGACATCCTTGGCATACAATATCTAAACATATACAATAAATTAAATTAAAAATTATTTTTTTATAAACATATTAAATGATGATAATGATAAGTTTAATGATAAATTTACTTTATTATGTGAATCTATACGAGCTTGTATTTGGCCATCAAGAATTAATTGCATAAGTTCATCTTCCAATTCTGATACAGTCCTATTAAAAGCAGTTGCCATACGTCTCATATCTGCACTTAAGTATGGACTAAAATATTGTATTAATGCTCTATTCCGAATTTGTGTATATAATACATTAACATGTGGTGCTATATACATATCTAGAAGTATGTTATCCTTTATCTCATCCAACAATTTTAAACAAGATGCATATTTTGATTCGTAAAATTTAAAAATTATATCTCTTAACTGTGGTTCTAATTCTAGGAATAACTTAAAGGAACTGCTGAAAATAACTTGTTTTTGTAATTCATGTCTGTCAAATGTAGCTAAAGCACAAAGTCCTCCATATAAGGCAACATTTCCAGGGGATAATAATTCAGGACAATCACAATGATCCAATGATGCCTGCAAAAAGTGTCTTGCAGCCATTTTATATTTTCTAGTAGCTAATTCCGCTAGACCAGCTGCAACTTTTAATTTTGTAACTATAGATTGATTGTTATCTTTGCCATGAACATCAGAAAAATCTGGTGTACTTTCTGCCTTTGTTACATAACTTAATACATGAGCCCAATTTTGTAAATAAACAGAAACTTTAATAACATTTAAGCACATGTTAACGATATGCTTCCCACTAGTACAATAATCCCTTGCTCTGGAATAACACTTTAAGGCATGGACAAGATCCCCACAATCTAAATAATGATCTCCTAAATCATCATGACCTCTTCTAATACTTTCTTTAATTGAATTACTTCTATAATTTTTAAGATCAGTATCAAATTTTTCTAGTTTCAAAGCAGCCTTTTTGGAACGAAATTCAACCCAAGCTTGATCTAAGGTTAACATGTCTTGAGATGTTGATTGTGCTGCAACATCTGGTAATCCAGGTGTACCTACAGCTTGAACTAATTTTTTATGTAGTATGACATACAAAGAAACATTATATGTTGTCATCACATAAGATATAGCCATTTTTAATGCTTCTATCCTTAACATTGGACAGTGATCAGCTATATATATAAGTCTATATAGTTTAGCAAGACCAGTATAACTATTAGCATAAACTTCTAAATCCTGAAAAAAATCAAAATAAAATATTTTGACATATTACATATTACATTATAAAATCAGAGTTATACAAAATTATTACTATTAACTATTAAAAACAAAAGATTCGAAAGAAAATTAGATATACCAAAGTTGGGTTTTCCACAATATATGGTTCTTCTTCTGCATTATCATTATCTTCTGCAGGAGCATCAACTTGCATAGGCTCCACAACATTTTGCTATGTATAAAAAATATAAATAAAAAATATTTTAAAATATAATTTGAATAAAAAGATTTGTAAGTTGCAGTATTCTAAGTTAAGAAAACTAAGAACATAAAGGTTAAAAGATTTAAGAAAGATATCGGATCAACATAATAATTATAACATAAAAAAAAATAGATAAAAACATTTGAATTTGTCATGATTTTAATGTGCATGAAATTTTCTATTTGTAGCAATTATTGCACGTTATTTTAAAAAATTACCTGAACATCGTGAACTTGCAACGGCATGACAATGTTTTCTTTTCTGTTACGGTCAAGAATTTATGAAAGAAAACAAAACTTTCCGAGAATAGTGTATAATAAAGGACTGAAGTATATACATACATACAGGGCAGGTAACATGCAGCAACTAACACTTTTCCACTGTCATAATTCTAATCAGACGAATTTTCATTTATGCGAAATTAATCTGAAATATCGATATATATTATTATTTTAAAGAATTAATATATATATTATTTTATACATACATATTTTAATAAATTTTATTAATTCAACTTAGATATTTCATTTCAAAAGTATGAAATATATAAAATATACATATTTATTTTAAATATGAACCATAGTGTTTAATTTGGCAACGCCGTTTTTTTTAAATATATGAATTCTAATGTAAGATGTACATTTTATTTATTTTAATGTAATATATAGAGCAATTATGATAAATGTTTTTCTAGAAAATTAATATTTAAATATAAATAATAATTTAAATAAATAAATAATATAGTAAATGAATAATATAATAACAGGAATAATATTTAAAGTAATATTGTATATAATTACTAGAAAAATTTGACATAATACTTATATTTGAAACATTTATATTGATTTTAAATAAATGTAAGAATAAAGCAAGTTTAAATTTCGTTTACATGCAAATTTTAAAAATAAGCAGAAGATTAAAAGTGTAAAAGAACTTCTAATATTAAATAAAAGAGATTAAATAAATATTGAGTAAAAATGAAACATATAAATAAAATTGTTTTTAAAATTACAAATACGTATTAAAAAATAGTATTATTTTTAATACGTATATAATTTTTTTAGGTATTTATTGTAGGTATTTTTATATATTTATATTTAAAGAATATATTAAATTTTGTTCTATCTTAAGGATATGTTATTATTATATAATTATTTGATTTTATCATAAATTTTTTTAGAACTAGAAATATAATAATGAATAATATTGTTAATTAATTTTAATGCAAAAAATAGAATTTAATATGTATGTATGTATGTATGTATTAGTATTAGAATTAGAATTAGATTATTTAAGATTATGATTATATATTTAAGATTATACAATATTATTATATTTTTATAAAAAATTTAAAAAAGATAAAATATTTATTGGTCAAAAGTTTTAACTTACAATTAATTATTTGTATTATATATAAAATAAAAAAAATATTAATTAAATATAAATATTTAATAAATTTAACTATTCTTTACTATTAAGATATTATTGTACATTCTATTATATTATGTAATAATTATTCACCTAATTATATTCTTGAAAACTTCATCTCTTGTATTTTAAAGACAACATATTACAATAAACAAATATTTTATAAATCGTGACAGATCGAATTATGATTGACTAGGTTATGTTTATATCGACCTGACATTGTTGCCAGATTTGTCTCATTATGGTATCAAATGTAAAACAATGAATAATTATTATTTTAATTATTATTTATTATATATTATATCAATAATAGTTAATAATTAATATAATAATAGCATAATTGATATTCTTTTTAATATGATTATGAAACAAATGAATAACAAAACTTTAAAATACAAATATTTTTAAAAACATTTTTACATGATGGAAAGACTATTTGTAAACTTTTAAAAATACTTGCTATAATGTATTGATCAATTATAATGTAAAATATCTATTTTTTTCAATCAAATTGAATATTTATAATAATTATGAGTTTACAAAAAAATTCTTGATAATTCATTAATATAATAATAATATTCTGATATATTTCATAAAAATATATATTATGATATTTTTAATGTTATAAATAAATTAATTCCTTTTCTAATAATTAATTTCCTTTTATTTTATTAAATAAATAATTATTTATATAAGAGAAAAAATTTTATCATTGCATTTATGTAATTCTAATATTTGTATTATTTTTTTGTGTCAATTATAACTTATATAAAATATAAACTTATATAAAGTAATAATTCATCGAAAACAAATAATAAATTTATACAAAATTCATAATAGTCAAATATTTTAGTAATATGAAAACACACCTTTGGGCGTTTCAATTATCTCACGAGGAACAAAAAGTGTGATCGATACGATCCAACGGTAACGATTAAAATGAAACGTAAACGTAGCTAAGCCCCTGGCTCCAAAAGACGCATGATGTCTGTCTAGTAGTCATGTCCAATATGGCGTGTATATTGTGAGTTGCATTAACGTGCAGGTAAGATTTTATCATTTTCGTTTTTTTTACATCTGATAAATAATTAAAAAGTGAAAATTTTTGCACTATACAATTTCAATATTTCGAATTTATATATATTTTTGCTTATAGATCGTTAACAAACTATTAACGAAACTTTTTGCTTAAAATATGTGAACTTTGTCAACCTTTGTACCTTCAAGGTCCGTTTGCTGAGGTGCATTTATGATGACAGATGTGTCGTGTAGAAAACATGTGTCTTTGATCGAATCGTTTCACGAAAATTATAATTTCGCGTAAAACAAAAAAAAATTGATTTTTAAGAAAGATTTATTACGCGATAAGATACATCGTTGGCAACTGTTATTTAAATCTAAATGGAATAGTACTAGAATTAAAAGAATTGATGAAAAATTTTAGAATTGTTCATATAATTATTCGTATAATTAAATCAACAGTTTTAAAATTATAATTTTTTATAATTATATAAATCGTATTTTTTAAAATTGAAATTAAATAAGATTCATAATAATTTTGTATATAGTAGTAATGTGTGATAAGTGTTGATGAATATATTAAAAAAATGGAACAAATACTTTGAAATTTTATTTTCACAAGATTTAGAAATGTAAGTTTAATTTATATATTATGGTATAAATAATATTTTATAAAATAGATTAAAAATATATATAAATAAGAGGCATTGTATCAAGACATAAACTCTTAGCATATTGATTCATTTAATCGTTTTTAAAAATGAATTTTCTTTTTTAATTATTATGATTTTTTATGATCCGATAAAACATAATTTTTAAAGTAATTTAAAATAATTTGATATAATTATATAGATAAATTAATAAATTAAATAAAATTGAAAAGATTAAAACAAAATTAATTTTCTTTCTACAGGTTCTGTTCCTGCTTCTAGTGCAATTATTTTTTGTGAATAAAGGGGATGAAATAAATACAGAAAATTTGTAGTAAAACAATGTACAATGAACTACGGTGGGAATATGCCAGATTGGCACCAATATAATACCTCACAAACAAATGAAGTTTCATCTTCTACGCAAAATATAAATTCTGGTCACCTTACATTCATTCCTGGTGTCAGTCCTACATTAAATCCAATTAGCCTTAACTCGGAGAGCCTGAATAAGCATCAGAACGATGCAAATTACAATTCAAGAAATTTTCAATCTTTTAACAACGCCTCAAATGGTTCAACTATTCCAAATAATAGCCCTCTTGCATCTATGGTGCAAATGCAGAATTGCATTGGCCATTACGGTTCTCCAAATACAAGAAATCCTATGTTAGATAACATAAATGCTTCTGTGGATCCTAGAAACACCTCAATTGGAACTATAAATGATGAAATAGGATATAGAAGTAATCAGGTGCCTTTCAATGGACCTATAGGTCATCTAAATGGACCAAACTGCAATTTAAATGCACCCTCCGGACCTAGAACAGGACCTGGGTCTATCCCTGGACCTAGAACTAATTCTGGACTTGGAACCAATCCTAGCACTGGAACTGGTCCCAATTCTATGTTTGGGCCTAGTTCCAGACATGGACCGGCACTAGGAACTGGATCGAGCTCTGGAAATATGGGACCAAGAAGTACTAATATTAATTCACTACCTCCTGGAAAACCTGGCCCCTCTTCTTCGTTTATCCCTTGTAAAGGTTTGTGTTGCAATTCAGATCCTAATATTAATTATCAACAGTGGGAGAAGTTTGGATCCTATCAAAATAACGCATCGTATAGAGATAATGTACATTCATCTAATTATCAGATTGAAAATAAACATTTTGGAAATAATTGTAATTTTAGAAAAGATAATTTAGAAGGTAAAGAAGTAATGAGTCCTGTATTACCCAATGCGCCCACTATAGATCATAGAAGAAATTTTGCAGATTATAAATATCATAAGGATCATCTAATGCATAGAAATTACGTAACATCTTCAGGAATGTTTCACAATTATTCCATGCAAAATTACAATTATTCTACGGAGCATCAAAAATATCCGTACCCTGTAAAAGAACATACAAGGACGAATAATATGAACATGCCGAATTCAGGAATGCTTAAACATCAAGAACAAAATTTCATTCCTCCCCAACAAAAGTTCAATAACAAACAATTCCAATATCAGAATGGGAATATGTTATCTAAAGGGATGCCTAATTTAAACGTAAACACAAATATGGCATCATCCTCTCAAAATCCATATTTTAATTCGCAATTTCCAAGAAATATCTCTACAGAAATGTCTCACGAATGTCAAGAGACGACTGATAATACTACAATGATGCAGAACAGAATGCAGAATACCTTTATGCACAACTCTTCTCCGCAGCATCAAGTATATCAACATAAAATAGCAATGCAAAAATTTTCAATAGAAAATCATCTTAGAGAGCTGAGCAGGATACCTGGCTATCAATCCCATCCCAAATATAAAGAATGTATTCTCAGATATAGAGAAGTATTAAAATTACAACAATCGTCTGGATATCAAAATCCGGTTCAACAAACGCCACGTGTGGCAACACCGATGAACACGATGCCGCCTATTAATTTGCAGTTCGATCAGAATGGTATGTTGATAAATTCCAATTATCTACCGGATAATTTCCCCAAGTTGCAACATGCACCAATTATAGAACAAGCATCAAAAGAGATCGATAAACAAAATAAGGGTCAGGATATTGCTATGGTTAACGAAAAATGTCAACAATCGCAGCAACCGGAGCAATTAATGATTCCTCAACAAAATGAACAAAATGTTCCTTCTTCTTGTATAGAGACATTTCAAAAGCAGAATCAATTCTCGATACACGAAGATTTCAATCAAAATCAATTAAAAGTACAAACGAGTGAGAGTCACAGCTTTAATACTTTAAATACTGATACTAGCAACGAAACAATGATGCAGCAGCAAAAAACTACAAAAGAGTTTGCCAATAAACCGGATTTGGACGTCAGACAATTCTTGGCTAATTGGGACGAAACTGACGACGAAGATGGGACGGCCAACTTGCCAGATACCGTTCTAAGTGAAACAACACCGGTCGTCGTGGTAAGCTACGAAAACATAGATCTTTCATCGAAAACACAAACTGCGGAAGTCTCGAGGAAAAATAATTTCTGCTCGAGCGAGGCTGTAGAAAGTAACGACAAAGAAGGCGAAGCGAGCGTGATAACAGCCCAAGATTGTTTGACCATATCGTATTCCGCATCTGACAATTCTCAAATTGTGAAAACTTCCAAAAGAACTATCGGGGAAGGGGTTGTAAAACCTGGAAGTATCATACACTGTATCAGCAACGGCCCTGATGAAATACCCACCATTCACATAGTGGACAATTTAGAAATAAGCAACATCCTTGGTGCGCCTGACGATCAGGTTATACAGACACTCGAGAAACAGAAGACAATACCATTTTTCAGAACAGAATCGAACAACGATGAAACCATAGTTGCCGAAAGTACAGAGCGGGACAAGAGCGATGCAACTCGTATACTGCCTACCGATTACACCGTGTCTTTGGATAACATGAACAAAAGTACAAGCGTGAAGAACATTGAATCTGAAACTGTCAAAACCACGACGGTTGCAACGACGGTTCCTATGAGCACCGTTTCGAATCACGAATTAAGGGTGTTAGCGTCGGAGAAGGAGAATCTAGACGATAATACAGAGTTGAAGAAACAGCACAGCTTCGAGGAATCCCACAATCCTGACGACATCAGTTTACCAGATTTACCAACATCCGAATGCACACCGATATCCACCACATTGAACACCCCTATTCACTCGGACACCGAGGAATCGTCCCAGAACATAGAAGATTTATCGATATCTACGAATCCCATAGAAGTGATGCAAAACAATGATCCAGTAATCAGTTTTACACGGTTGAGCGGCGAGGACAAAGTGAAAAATAGATCTCTCGATAGTTTGGGGCTCGAGTTTCGGGAAAAGGAAAATCACGACAAGGGCGATCACGAGATCGATACGAGTGAACGAGAAACGGTAGGTGATTTTGGCCTGTCCCACAATTCTAAGACGGGATCGAACGACGAGAAAAATAAGCAGAAAAGTTTTGGAGCGAACGCTGCGAGAAAGAAAGCGTGCCTGATGGATGTGAAAGAGGACGATGGAAGGAATAGTATTCTGACGTCCGTCGAGTACGAGTCGGAGGTTGAGCAGCAGGAGGAACACGTGCAAAGGAAGCACAAAAGCGTGCGAAGATCGATGGAAACGGCGATAAGAGGTGGGATTCAAAAGCGTGACAATTCAGGCGACAACGTCGATTCTATGAATGCAAATTTAAGCCCGACGGCGTCTGGCGACGAGTCGAATCTGAAAAATGAGAAAGAGTCGCACAGAAGGAGACGGATAAAGGATGTGTCCACGAACACGACAACCGCCTGTCCAACGTCCTGCGAGATCGATCTTAATAAAAAAAGAGAGGCGACCAGTTGGAAAGTGGACAAGGCTGTAACCCAGAAAAGGGATAATACGAGACAATCGAAAGATTCGTTCCAGGGTGAAGAGCATCCCGCGTGCCATATGACGTCCCAATACAAACGCTATTCCGTTGCTGTGATGAAGGATACGTTGAACGATAAGAGAACGCAGGGCGGCACAGATAGAACGGCGAGTGGAAAGTCGGCCAAAGAGCTTCCCGGGGAGGAGACTGAAAGTAGGAAACACGGCAAAGCAACGTTCCACGAAACCATCCAATCTCAGACCTCCAAGTTGTTGCAGAAAGATTTAAAGACGGTCGACGGGGGGGATGTTAGATACACGGCGGAGGAGATGCGTTTGCTGAAAGAGTACAGGAGAACGAAGGAGAAGATGTGTCTGGATGCGGAAAAGAAGTCGACAAACGGTCACAAGGCGAGGAGGTGTTCCCAGGAAGAGGCGAGGAAGGGGAACTCGACTATTCAAGTCGTGAACTTGAAAATCAAGGAGAACGAGATTGGCAAGAAGTTGATCCTCGGTGAGAAAGGCGAGGATCACGTGAAAGATTCGTTGGAGGGGATCCAAATCGAGATCAACGTCTCGTGCACGGAGAGAAACGCGAAGGAGCAGGCGGAAAACGATCGTTGTACGACGATCTGTACGACGATCCCCAATCTTTTTCGAAGCCAGCGTTCGATTGCCAGCGTAGACAGCACGATCAGGGAAAGAACGACTCGAGACTGTCCGACAGGGAGCAGAGAGGATCGTGCGAGAAGTTGGATCCTGGCGAGAAAAATTCGAGAGTGAAAAGGGGTGGCTCGTTGGAGGGAAACGAGGAGGAAACGAGTTCTAAGGAAACCTGCAATTGCGTTGCGTCGGACAATCGATTCTTAAGTAAATCCAACGATGTGTGCGATGGGTCGAGAACCGAGGGTACAAATCAGGGTACCGAGCCTATAATCAAATCAAAAAGCGCAATATCAAGTACTGCCATAATTGACGCAAATAATAAAATTAAGAATAAGCCGGAGAACGAGGACAAGGAAGATAACAATTCTATTCGGGTGGACGACGATACTCGTATAGGAAAGGCGCGTGGCTCGATGGATGCGTCGAGTACAATGGAAAACGAGTTGGCAAGCGTATCTCTCCCCAAGACTTCTACGAAACTGCCAGAAAGCAACGACCACCAGTTAAGAACTGGTGGTAATTCGTTGAGCGATTTGGATTTAAAGTTAGGCAAGTATGTGGATCTGGATGATCGGCCGGACGAGAAGGATGATGAGGCAGTGTACAGCGCGGCAGGCAGGTGGAAGAAGCCAAAGATAGACGACATTTTCGAAGACTGCGAAATGTTTCAAAGTAGCAACGGTTACATTAATCCCATATTCTCGAGTATAGATAAGCTAGAAGATCCGCACACAGTTCCTGTATACACAACCAAAGATGGAAAAATATCTTATAGCCCTAATCGAAGATTCACTTATCACGAATTGATGATGGAGGCGCGTGGTAAACGAGACTCGTACCCATCCGTCCCGAAAAAGTCCCACTACACGGATAATTGGAACAATAATTATTACAATTCCAAGTTTCGTAAATTGTACAAGAAGAAGCGGCATCACGGCCTTAGCGAGAGGAAGAAGTACGAATACAAGAGCACGAAGTACCTTTACGATAGGAAAAGAAATAATTCGGACGAATTTTACAGTAAGAATCACGTTAAGTACAAGGACTACGTTCACAGCATTAGGAACAACAATGCCGTTTGGACTGATCATTATAAAATGTACAGCAGCAGCGATTCCGATGAACAGATCATGGATCGAAATAAAAATTGCATTGCTGAAGCGAGTAAGAAAGATCAGGACACGAGCAGCAAAAGCGTAGCTATACCTAAATCGCAGAAAGACGGGTCGGTCGAGAAATCGGATTTGGAATCTAAAAATGAGGAGAGTATCGATAATTTATCGAATAAGGATAAAGATTTAGATTTAGGGGGCGCCCAACACACGGTTGAACTTGATAAGAGTAACGAAGATCGCGAAATTACTAATTATACGAACAATCCTGATCGAACACGATCGAATATCGCCACTTCAACTTCTCTAGAGTCGGATCGTGAAAATGTAGGAAATGAAAAACAGGATGTGAGTGAAAATAACAAAATAGTAGAAAAATGTTTAGATAATTCAGAATTGAATAATAAGTTGAAGCCAGAGGAAGAGGGAGAAAATCTTCGGATAAATGAAAATGAGAATTCGAAGAATGAATGCAGTGATAAAATTATCGATAAAATTGAAAATGGAATTACTCGTGGGGGTGAAGGGAAGGAGAGCGTGGATGAGAAGGAGAACGAGTCGACTTCGAAACAAGAAAAATCCTCGATGAATGAGAATAAGCCGGAATTTACTTTGTGCGACCTCGAAGAGGAAAAGAACGATGAAAACGTTGTTTCGAAAGAAGAAACGGCGGAGCACGTCGAAGAGCACGAGGAAGAAAGTAATACGAACGTGTTTCATGATCAAACTCCTTCAGAAACCGAAAAGAATTTTGAAAGTATAATACATCGTGTAGAAGTCAACGAAAATCCAGAAATTGATCAAATACCAGAGTCCGTGATTGATGTGACAAATGAAGTTTCAGAAGTTCGAGTAGAATCTAACGGATTCGATCAAATTTCACAAGAATTTTTGGATCCTTTGGAAAAATCAAATGACGCGTTTAATGAAATTGTGGAGAAATGCGAGAAAGATATCGATGAAGAAAATATCTTGGAATGTGAAAAAGAAAGCGTGCAATTTGAGGTTGAAATTTCTAGTGAAAATCACGATGAGGATTTAAACGAGGTGAAAGAAAAAGATGTTGAGCTTTCGAAATATCAAAATGATGATAATCCGTTGAAAGATTCAACTTCCGTTTCCGTAATGGAACAAGAGGAACAACCCGAATCTCAATTAATGTTGACAGACTTAACAGATCGATACATTTCCGTGGAAACGATCGAATACGAAGAAGAAAATGTGAATTCCGATCAAATAGACGACGAACAAAATTTTTCCGAAGAACAAAATTTTGTTGGTTTTCCGGAAGATCAAATTGACATTGAGGATAAATGCATCACCGAAACTGTATCGAATAAAGGTGAAATAGAAGTTATCCTGTCAAATATAGAGGAAACTTTAGCGGAAGAAACAATAGGAAATGATGGTTTAAGAATCGAGAACGAACAAGATGATTTGCTAACTGTCCCTCAGATAAATTGCGATCAAGATTCTTTAGCGGACAAAGAAACGCTTATTTTCAATACGTATTGTGGTAACTCGCCGGGTAGTATGGACGTTGAAATTAGCCAAAATAAGACTGAAGAAGATGAATCGAAAGAAGAACAAATTCGTCTCGAACGAGTTAATAGTAAAAATTTAATTAATTCGTCGGATAGCAATACGGACGTGGAGGCAATACCCAAACTGATTATAAAGAAAGCTGATACGTCGAAATCGGAGTGTTCAATAGATCATACAGATTCTTGTGAAAGTTACAATAAATACGATACGAAATTATTATCCGAATTACGTCCAAAAATACCAAAGGTGATCATTATGAAAAATAGATCACGGTCAGTGACTCCAACGGTTGAAATTTTAGAAAAATCTTCTAACAAGTATGATAAAACGCAATCTCCAGAGCAAAACAAAGGTGTGGATATGGATAACAAAGATGTTGAATCGTATACATTGAAATACAGTAATTACGAGAATAAAGTACCTAAGGTGAGAATAAAATTGGAGGATATATCGTCTAAAGATTTGAAATTATATTTAAAACGAAAAGCTACTAAGAAGACTGTTCCAAAGGTGAGAATTAAGAAGCTTAAAACGCAAGAGAGTGAAAGATTCGAGATGGAGAATAGCTCAGGGACGGAAGGAGAAGCGGAAACTTCTTCTTCTGACGAAGAAGATACAAATTTTCACGAATCGATGTCCAGCGATGCGGAAAATGAAAGAATACCAAAACTAAAGTTGAAAAAGCAAGAAGAAAATAAATATTTTTCACCAGAAAGGAATAAAGGGAAAGATTCGAATATTTCTAAAATTTCTTTGAAAAAAACCAAAAGAGCAAAGGAAGAAGATTCGAAACACACTGCCAATAAGAGCACGGCAATTAACGATGAATTAAAGAAGAAGTTTCCTCAGTGCGTTATCGAGAAAATTCCTAAGGTTATAATAAAAAGAACCCAGATCGGAACAGAATTTAAATGCGAAATTAGTAAAAGTAAAAAGACTTCGATCGCTGAAACTTCAAAATGGCAACCAAAAGTAAAGTTGCAAAGATTAAATGTTCTGGATTATATGGTGAAAGATTTGAAGCAGTCGAAAAATGTCGAAATTGATACGACCACTCACGTAAAGGATAATAAAGATAATGATATTAGTAACGAGGTTACAATTGACAATAATAAAATAAAATTATCTAGATCTAATTCAGTATCCAATTTATCTCCCACTAAGTGTAAACAGAGAAGGTTATCAGACTCTGGTTTTATAAAAATACACTCGAAATCAATTACTGAATTCGATGATAATTTAGATGATAATATGGATGATAATATTTTCAAATCAAATAATAATGAAAGTAAAAATTTAAAGAAGAAGGGGAAGAAGAAATTATTTTCTCAAAATGAACAAGCGTATTGTAATTATAATGATGAGAGCGAGGATGAAATAAAAGAGACTGTCACGAAACATTCCTTTAGAAATATTTTAACGAACGAAAACAACGATCTGATGGTTGTGAAGAAGAAATACTCATCATTTGGGACCAAGGGAAGTACATCTCCTGTAGAAGATAAATTTTTAGATTCTGTCACATGTTTAGATAATAATGATAATGATAGTTCAATAATTAAAATCGATTCTTCTGATGAAAGTCAAACTACCATAGAAATTCTGCCAGCATCACCAAATAGTAGCGATGATGAACCAAAGAATTCTGAATCTGAAAATACTAGTAAAATAAATATGGCAAATGCAATTCCAACTCAATTGGAATTAGAATTGGAGCTTATCGATAACAATAATATGTATTCTGATATATTTGCATCAAAAATTGACTATGCATCGCATTCTAAGAATAAGTATATTAATCAAGAACCATATTTCGATGAATTTCAACATTTCTCACAAGATACTTTTGATCAAAACGATCATATCTTAATAAAAAATCAACAATCGTATAATTCAGAAAAAGAATCAAATGATTATTTTTATTGCAATGATTTATTGGTTAAAGAAGTATTAGCTGCTAAGGAACATTGAAAAAATGCTTGACTCGACCGGAAAATATAGATATAGAAGAAAGAAAATCACGACTTAGAACAGTAGCTGAAAAGAAACAAGGTTTAAGTTTTAATTTTAACGATTTTGGAAAATCATTAGATAAATTTGAAAAAGTATGTACTAACAAAGAAAATGATGAAGTAAAAAAGGATAGAACATCTAAAAATTCAGAAATGAAAGGACACAAATCTCCTCGTAAAATGAAAACGGAAGAAATTGAAGAAAGCTGTTCAAAACAAAATGAAATTTTTTCTCTGGTTTGCCCTACAGCTTCCACACATGAAGAAAATAATGTTTCCGAATTGACAACGATTTCGTTAAAAGCTTCTAAAAGATTTGATAAAACAACAATGAGCAACAACAAGGCATCCTTGAATAATTCTGATCCATTAAATAACAACATGAAAGAATTGCAGGAGGAAAAATCTCAGAAAAAAAACAATAGCAGCGAATATCAGAAGGAAAGTGATAATTCAAACGATAAAAAGACAAAGGAAGATAATATGCCATTATTAGTGCCAGAGTTTTCTTTAAATTTTGATTCCAATTCAGATAGAGATAGTTCCAGATCTCCGCCTGTTATAACGAATCAAGAAGAAGTTGAGCAAATGATAGGAGATGTAAAGTTGATGGAAAGTAAAATGATAAGTCAAATTGAAAAAATAGATGAAAATAAAAAACATTCCTATAAAGACTGTGAAATGACAATTGCTGATATTATAACGCAATTAGCTTATCATGAAAAGGTATACAAATATTTATTATTTCTAATTGCTTAATTAAATAAATTTTTATATAATTGTATGATAAAGTTAATTTTAATGACTTATTATAGGCAACAATAAAACATAAAAGATATTGCAATTTGTGCGAAAGATGGTTTCCTACAACTTCACGACATCGCCGACATTTAGCTGGATATCAACATCGTTATATGGAATTGACACAACGTAAAAGTATACACGCGCTTTTTATTCTTTTTACTGGCAAACCATGTCCAAAGCTTTTGCCAGCAAATGTTATTCGAAGTGATTGTTCTATAGGAGAATTGACACCTTTGCAAATTGCGGTTCAGGTATGATTTTATTTCATATACTTGTTTACATTTTAAATTTTAAATATTTTATTTTATTGATTATTTTTTATAGGATGTTGCAAAATGTGTTGAATTTATGCAACCAGAAACGAAAGAATAATAATAATGAGTTACTATAAATTATTTTGGCTGCATAGATGCATTAGATGATTTCCTGTGATTATGTATACTAAAACAAATGATGTGAGTACCTTTGAAAAATGTACTATAATGACAAACACAAAATGAATTCTGTGACTCTTTTAATCTCAATGGAATTGTATATTTTCAATATGATTACTATTCTTGGCAATCATATTATATAATTATATCATTATATAATATATATATATATATAAAAAAACAATGAAATTAACATCCGTGAGCTTTGCAAAAAAGAAAAGCTTTGTTGATTGATGTTAATTGTTAAGTTACTTGAAAGAAAAAATTACTTTAAGTAGTTAGATATTTAGCCAAAGATTTTAGCAAAAAAAAAAAAAAAAAAAATATAATAGTTAC